ACATCCCGAATGAATCAATCGAAATAGCGCGGCGGGACGAGCGGAATCCTTTTGGTAATACATTACGGATATCACATAACGGACGATAAATCGATCACAGCAGCGCACAGTAGGCCAGGGAGCTCGAAAAAGTGGCCAAAAATCAACATGCAAATTTGCACTCCCTTATCAAGGTATCTTAAAATAGATGAGTTAAAGTAGCTGTAGAGAAATTTTTTTGCAAGTGGGTGGATATTTGTTCCTATAAGAGCATTATAAAAATAGAAATGTTATCCGAGTCCTAACATAATTATAATTTTTAAAAAATTGAGCTTATAATTTGTGAAGTTTTTCTTCCATGTAATATCAATATTACTAGTATTTAAATTGAAGAAAGTAACAACGATATGCGGGATTAACTTAACTTGAGTATTGTGACAGCATTTTTATTCTTTTCGATTTTGTGCAATTTGCCGTTTCCCAGTTCCCCGAAGTTCCACCTTCTAATAAAATATTAAAGGTGTTAGAATTTTCATTGTAATGTCTACTTCGAGCCTGTTATGCGATATTTTGCGAATACTGTAATTTCCACGCGTAAACGCAATTAAGTTCCAATCACTCGGATTGACTATGATTTCACGATTGTACGCGTGTAAGTAATGATTTTATCATTTGATCTGTATTTTTCTATCAAGAGAAGAATTCTTTTAATTCCATTATTCATCTTTTTTTATTTTATAAAGGAATTTATATAGGGCTCGAACGTGTTCGGGCATGACCACGGGACGTGCGCGGAGTATCTGGCGCACGAATGAGTCATTTGTAATTTTGAACTTTTGGTGTTAGACTCGTTCTCAATGACATCGAAAATACCAATAAATTTAAATTTACCAATTATATAATTTACAATAATACCAATTTTAGAAAAGTCCAACGATATCTTGAATTTCGGCCACCTTTTCGAGCTCCCTGGCCCAATGTGCAGCGTTATATAGTTGGCGATATAATGTGACTGTGGAGTTAATAAGAAAACGCGAAAAATTACGTATCGAACGCTCCGCATACGAATTAGCATTTCAATTAGAACTTTCGCGTAAATCATTCTTTGGAAGTCGTACATACTTTTGGAAACTCGAAATGCGTATATACGTGCACGAGCCACGAGGACCCGCTGCCGCGGGTGAAGACTGTTTGCTAATTAGCAACGTCTCTGTCACGCTCGAAATACGACGACGAAATGTTCGTCGTCGTGCGAAACACCGTATGGCAATAATACAGCCGTCTTTTAACGACTCGATGTTATACTCCGTATAGTCGTTAACTATTTTACTGCATGCTGTAAATGAGACTCGCCTTTCGACCGCACGGGCGATACGCGGCTGCACGCCGCGCGCGATATCGCGTACGCGCGTGAAAAATCACGCGAACGCGTTTCACGACGACGCGACGCTTCCGATCGCCCTCGCGGCGCTTTCGCTTTCACCCAGCCGCCGCGTCGTTGAGTTCCGTTTTTTCAGTCAGCCCGTAAAAATATTATCGGAATATAACTTGGGCGTAATCGCGTGCTCCTCTTAATGGAGAGTCACAAGTACCGAGAGGCCAAACTGAGAGAGAGAGAGAGAGAGAGAGAGAGAGAAAAACGGTCGGACGATCGGCCTGGCGACACCACCACCTGTGTTGCAGAATATACGCGATAAAATCGTCTCGGCGGACGCGCACGTGGAGACCTGCACGGACGGACCTGGATGAAAAGTGGAGCACGGGAGAATTGCGCCGTGACGAAGCGACAAAGCAGTTAAGTGATCGATCAGTGCCTTAGGTGTGCACCATCTTTGCTACTGACCCCCCCGCGAAGCCCCCCCTCCCCCCTTTCCTGGGGGCTGCGCTATTATATATTACGTGGTCCGTGCCACATAATAACGTTGGATGCATCGCATAAAGGCGGCGTCGTCTGCGCGATGCGGAGAGAGCGATTATGACCGGGTGCATGCCCGACAAAACACACTTGCGGCGCCGAGTATATAAAAAGAGTTCATATAGGTACACGGACGTCTGTGTGTGTGTGTGTGTGTGTGTGTGTGTGTATGTGTATGTGTGTGTGTGTGTATGTGTGTGTGTGTATTGCAGCCGAAGGTGCATCTCACGGGCGTATCTCACGTCAAACTTGCACACCGGTTTTGGCAAATTAGGTTACCGCAAATAAATAACCAAACTTTTTTGCCTCGGGTTTTAGTTTTAAACACATTTTCACGGAAACTTGGACCGCTCGGCTATAATTAAAAATGGATAACACTGGAAGTGTGTGCCTCTGCTAAAAATTATATTATGAAAAATAATTTTTTGTTCGATCATAAAGAAACTTCTTATCAGAGCAATGCGCCGTTTACAAAATCGTCGTTTACAACTGCGAAATTTCCGTGTAATTGAAGAGAAAAGTGCAATTTTCCAGAATATTCTGTACTAATTACGTATTTGCATTAATAATTTCCTTCCCCTTTCTTCCTCCCCCCTTTCCCCCCTCCGTTCGAAGCGCGACAATCAGAGAGTTTAACGAACAAAAAAGTGTGTACAATGTCGAGCCGCTTGCTTTAATTTAAACGTACGAAATTCTTATATACATTGAAATATAAATAGTGAAATGATTATATATTTCTACATTCCCGTTTTGTTGAGTGAAGTTTTTTTTTTTTAATGAAAGTTTGCCTTATCTGTCAGTGAGCGCAAAGAGCGAAAATTAAATAGCGGAAATTCTCTCCTCGCCCGGCGTGTAAATAATTCACGGCGCGGGCAAATTCGCATTGCCGAGGAGAGAACGCGCGCGTTCGAGGCTCGCTCTAAAATAATTCAACGACGTTTTATCGATCAATTTGCAACTCACTTGGAGCGTAAACCGTCTTTGTAACTGACCCGACGACCTGCGGTACATAATATCGTCGCGCACACGTTGACGTTGGCGCTGCAGTACATAAACGCAACTATGTGATGAACGTAGCACGGTGCGTTTATAAACTTTCTCACGCATGCACGCACACTATGGCATCCTCACGAGTAGATTGCATACAAAATAATGGAAAACGCCACGGCGATGATAACGCCGCGCCGTTGCTATACGTGCGATCAACCTTTCATGCCTAATTAATTAAGCGTGTGCCGTAGTTTCGACACGTTAATTGAAAAATAAATACGGGATTGCGCCTAATAGGAACTTAAAGAAGGGACATTTTCGAGGACAAACGTATAAGTAGCATTCAAATCTAACTGTCTGTACTACGCGATAATGTCATTAAGTAAGATAGTTTGTTTAAAAAAAAAGAAAAAAAAAGAAAGATGTTGGAGAGTCGAAAAATAATAACGAAGCTCTACGATCCTCTTTCATTTTTCAAAACAATTGAGTCGTGTTATTTTTAACTACGTATCGCGGTGAGTTGAAAGAGCCCAAATTTTTAAACAAATTACCATATATATTAATTAATCGATTAACCGATGACGCATCGCGGTCGTATATTACTGCTCCGCGCCCCCGCAGTTTAGCATTATATTATGTGGTTACAACCGTGCAAGGGCAACTATGTGAAACGCGCTTGCATAATCGATACGTGCGATTTCGGCATATTAGCAGCGTAAGCATGTACATGGAATTTCCGCAAAACAATGGGCCCACGCCGACAATATGCTTTATTAAAAGTAGAGGACTCCGTGAAAAATGCATAAAGGACGTCATTACGATTGCTATTACCGTGGTATTTTAATATTCACGGATAAAATGTTGATAATATTATTGTATATTACTATAATTTCTTTTATGCACTATAATCTAAATCACCAAATCATTTAAATATGAAACTATATTATTTTTTCTTGAGATTTTTTATTGTACTTATTTTTTTCTCATTTATTATCGTATTATTCTATTATTTTATGTAATTTTGTATAATTAATTACCAATAATTACAAAAAAATTTGTAAGTGCATAAATTCTTTTCTTTAATATATCTTTTGTTTCTTTTTTAAATAATTTTTTAAAATAATAATTGTATGTTGCCCTTATAATACGCATTATAATAATCATAAAATGGATAGACACGTATTATAAATAAATGTTTTAATTGCATCATTAAAAAATTCGTACATTCTCTGAAAAACTCTGAAAAACGATAATTACATTGAATATTTCATATGTTTACATTCCCGTCACTTCGTCAATTAAAAAAGTATGTGAGTTGAGTGAGGTATCCTCGTTTTAAACTGCATTCAGTAAACGCCAATATGCAAGATAAATGTTGCGTAAATTTATCGAAACGTTTTCATTGCTTTGCCGTTTGTTTCAGAGAGAATATATTTTTTTCGAGTTGATTTTTTAAATATCACGATGTTAAATTGGATGGACGATAATTGAACCTCAACCTGTATTTTTACGGATTAAATGTCGTTTTAGAAACTGATAATGCACAGCTGGAAGACAGTTCGTATCTAAGATCTTGATGCTTATCAATTTATGAGCAGTGCGTTTGTTAGATCGAGAAAGTTTCTTCGTCACCGAATCTATCTTCGGAGGCGTTGGTGAATAAAAGCAGATGTGGCTTTTCTACATAATATCTTATATATGTATATCACGTACGATATAAATGTCAAATATCATTAATATAAATTTTTAAATACAAGTTGAAAATTACAAGTTTTAATTTATTAGAAAATACCGTTAATCCAGTTTTGATGTTTCATTGATTGAAAACAAATGGTAACGGATTTTGTTTTTCCAATATGTAGAATACCTGTATTTGAATTTCTAATTTATTTCCCATTTTTTATTTTTGCAAAAACGTGTATTATTACTTTATTTATTAAGTATCTTGATATATACGTAAGTTTCAAAATGATAAATTGTTTCATATAAAATTTTTATTTAAATCTTCATATTATTCTTTACTTCAAAAATACGTTTGTCACGTGATGCTTGTAGAACATGAAGAAGATGTAGACGTGTAGGAAATTTTAATAAGTGTAATGTAATTTTACATTACCTGTTATACATAAGAACGTCGGGTTTCCATAACCGACTCGGCGGTATTCTGAGGTCTCGTACACCTCCATAATCCGAGACGTTCCATCTCATGTTTACATCGTTCCATTCCTGTAATTAAATTAAAATTATGTAGAGTGACATGAAAGAGAGCTACATTACTGCAAGAAGTGCCGTCGTCGGTTATCAAAATGATAACTGAAACGACGAATGTTGCACTTTACTTAAAAAGTTTTATATCTGGATAATGAAAAATATAGCAATGCGCTTCGCAAAATATATTGAAAATCTTACAATCGTTTTTCGACAGTTTTCGCACCTGTGTCACAGCTCGGAAAAATTTCTTTATCACTCGCAAATTGAACAAATGAGTTGGCCAAAGAATCTTTAAGGCAAATCGAACATCATTTTTTTCTTCACGCAATCAGAAAGGGACACAGACGTTGACACACGTGTCTAAAAGTTATGTTCGAATCACTGCGTTCTCTCTGAAACGATGTTGACACTATTGATTTTTCAAACGGCAAGTGCCGACCCTGTCGCTTTTCGCGCAAATATTTTATACTACGCCGTATATGTCAAGTAAACACTACAGCATTTCAATTTAATTCTCGTCCGGGGAATTTACGAATGTGTTATTTCCGAGACGAGCCCGGCCCGTCCTTTTGCTTCCATAACGCACCGAGCGCACCTCTGGGAAGCCACATTACGGGGCGTGCTGCTGGTACAAGTAAATTCAATAAATTGCTTTCAGTATCCCTCGCCATTTGTTCGATTTCCTTGATGCTCACGCTGCAATTTTAAAATAAGTTTCCACAGTTCTTGTAACTTTCGTACGGGAGACAAATATAAACGTATTAAAATAGACGTTAAAAGCAGGATTGTGTCGTAGATTTCAAGATTACGTCTACACGGATTATTTACGTGAAATCTACGTGATGTTTATACGGTCTTTTTGATACGTAGACAATCTAGACTTGTAAACTATGTAGAATATTGTAAATTGAGATAAGAAGAGCACACG